AGAGTTAGCATCAAAATACTTAAATTGAGTGATTTTTCTTTTCTTAAATGTCGGGATTATAACTCGTACCCACCATCAAACTTTATATGAAAAGTATTTTATAAGAAAAAAATAATTATTAAATTATAAGCACATTCTCTATTTATATAAGTGATTATATGTATTTACTTCTTGAATGTTTATTTTCTGATGAAGGTCGCGTTTAGGTTAATATTTCAAGAACTTTTATACAGTAACATAAAATATTAATTTATTATAATTAAATTAATTTTTATTAATATTTTATAATAATAATTTTATAACTATAATAATACATGATTTTTTCTTTTTTTTTTTTTTGAGCGGATTTCGAATCCAGCTAAGGAAAAAGGAGAAATGTACTGGGGTGGTCATTGTCACTAGACTTCAAAGATCAGGTGCATACATGACTCTTTACTAAATAAATTTTTAAATAATAATATGATTTTCTAACAATAGAATGCAAGAATACAGAAAATTCACAGCCAGTCTACTACTATCGTATACGAAATGAGACGGCTTTTAGGGAAAAAAATATTCTAGAACATGAACACTCTTATAGCAAGAGTTAGGTTTGGTAATTTTTTTGTGAAACTTCACGGAAATTCTTGCCGTAGGGGCGAAGATTTTAAAAATATTTCTCCTCGTGTGAGGCAGAAATTTCTTCTGCCCCGTAAAAGCTTGTAGAAATTTATATATAATAAAAAAAATGAATTTATTTATATATATTTTTATAAATATAATATCAAATAATTTTTACTTACTTAATTTAATTGATTAACTTAACCTAATTTAAATTATCCATCTTAATTTTTTTTTTCAATTTTAGTCTCTTCAAACTCAATTTAATAACTCAACTTAACCTTAACATATATTATCATTCTTTTTTTTTTAATGATTTTGTTGCTTGTCGTTTTAAACGTATATGGTAGTATGTATTTGTTATAATTTATTATAAAACATTGCTTTGCTACGCTATATGTGAATGTATTAACTTTAAATTATTTTAAATTTTTATTTTTTTATTTATTAAAAAAATTATGTATTTAATACTTGGTAGAAACTTTAAATACCGGTAAAAGCTTATCATTTTCGATGAATATAAGAACAAATGTCATTTTTTACTCTCACCAAAAATCTTCATAGGAATCCTGTACTTGTCATTGGCTGGATTCTCACTCATATGGGGACTCATTGCAATCCTTACTTATAGTAAAAGGGTTAAAATATTAGTTTAGCTTCTTAATTTTTAAATTTGTAATAAAATTATTTTTTAATTTTAAAAAGTATTAAGAGTTTTTTTGAATTTTAATTTTTGATATTAAAATAGCCTCTAAATTTTGAAGGTAATATTAATTTAGTTTTTAAATTTTGAAATTTATGTCAATTTAGTTCTTAAATTTTAATTATAAATACTAATTTAACTTTTTAACTTTAAATATATATTAATTTGATTTGTAAGTACAAATATATTACGTGACAAAATATGACATGTTATTAATATTTTAAAATTTAATTTTTACAATAAATTAATGAGTTACATGATATTTCTATTAATAAAAAGAATTTTTGATATTAAAAATTAAAATTTAAGAATAATTATGGTACTTTTTTTAAGGTAAAGGATTAAATTGATATTTTAATTTTTTGTAATTTTTCTAAAACGATGTCGTATTTATGCCATGCCAAGATCTAGGAACACGTGTACCGCCGAGATTCTTCCACGTAAGAAAAGAAAACGCGTTTACGGCAATCCGACGTGCCAAACCCCTTTAATCGAGCTTTCACATCGGCCGGCGAAGGCCAGTCGGAGACAGCCACGTGTCCGTAAAAAGTCCTTGAGAACCGCTTACACTGTCCCCTGCTTTTATATTCAGGTCCGGTATCATTACCGGCTGCCTGGACCACTGTAAACGCGGCGGGAACAACTCCGTCAACGTCGTCGCAAGCAGCAACCCATGTTTAATGGGGCAATTGAATTCCCCATTGACCACCTCACCCCCCTTGGTCCATGAATTAATGCCCCATAATTCATGGAGTTTTCGGTAATTCCACTCCCATTTAATTAAATTGCAGGTTTTATTTCTTCTCTTCCTCAGTTCAGTTGAAACGGCGAGTGGAAACCAAGCTTCTGTAAGTTTTTTTTTTTTTTTTTTCTGATTCCATTTCAGTTCTGAAATTTGTTTCAATTTCTACAGCCTAATTGATCAGTGCATGTGGATGTAGATTTGAAACTTTTTTTTTTTTTTTTTTGCATTAAATTGTTTATTCAATCAATTGAATTTTCTGTTTGGCTGCTGAGAAAATGAAAGAAAATAATTCTAGAATGCAAATTTGATTTGTTGATTTTTTTTTTATTTTATCAAAGATGTATGTAACTTAATAAGGGAAGTGAAACCATTCTTATATGTCTTTCCTTGAGGTTTAGAACTGACGTTCTAGTTTTCAAATTTTGTCTTTGTTCCTCCTGGCCTGTTTGGTGGTGCGATGAGATCAAAATTTCTTCTTTCTGCCTTTTCTGGTCATGGTTTCGAATTCTATGATCTGTTCATCTATATTTTTTGTTGTCTGAATTTTTTTTTTTTTTTTAATTGTAATCAGTAAGAGAATAAAATGATTTATTTTCATACTGATGATCTAGATGGCAAGGTTTTGCAATTGCTTTTCCTCTGGTGTGTGTTAGCAAGTGTACTGCCTTTTTTTTGTGTCTGTGTGTGTGTTATGTAATATGTTGTATGAGTATGGTAGCGTGCCTGCATGTATCTAATGTTCCATTTTAAGGAATTGAGGTTTCGAGCTTTGCCTTTTAATTGTTATGTGTGTTGATTTTAAGTTAATTCATATTTCTCATGACTCTTGTTGGAATTTCTGTTTGATGTCAATTCTTTAAAAATAATAAGAATTTCTGTTTGCTGCGATAAAAGAAATTAATATATGATGTTTATATGTATATATATTTGTTTCTTTTAGGTTCGCTATGAAATATCGATTGTGATTGGGCCATTTAGTACTGCTGTTCATTATGGATTCTAAGAGGAGTTGGTTTAAGGTATTCCATCAGAAGACTGATAAAGAAAAAAACAGCCCCTTGAAAAAGAAAGAAACAGAAAATGCAAAGCATATTCAAAAGGCTCCAGTTGATCCGACAGCCACACCTTCAAATGCCACAAAACAGAAGGTAGCTGCAGCAAAGGAATATATTGAGAATCACTACAAAGCTCAAATGAAGAGTTTGCAAGAAAGAAAGGAGAGGTAAGTTGCCAAATTAAACTCCGTGTTTGTATCAAGTTTCAAAATCCAATGAGTAGTCTCGCCAGCTACTATAATAACCCCTTATTATTAGTTATTCTGCCACTTCATGGGTCAAAAAATTGGATCTTTATGGCTGGGTTATCATCAAGATGTTAGTGAAGCAGGATTGACTGTTTTACTTATTTTCCAAAAATGTTTCTTCCAGTTTTCACATGTTCATTTGGTTTTTGGCAGTGATGTGTTTCATAACAATAAAAATTTTGTGGGTTCTGCTCCAACCTCACTGTGTATATTTATGCTTTGACATTAAAGTTTCATGTGTTAGCAGTCTGAAAAATGTATTTTGTGGAAAATGGACTGATCTCCTTTGTCCTTGATTGGAATTATTAGTGTCAGTGCCACTGCCAAAGATTCTGTGAACCAGGATTTTTGCTCAATGTCATGACGTCCAGCTTCTATTGAAGTTGTTTCTTGTAAATAAATGACAAGTGAAAGGCAAAATAGTTGATGGTTCTCCCTTTTCTTGTTCTTCTCTTGGTGCTTTATGATACATTTTTAACTTTCATTTTATCATTTTCTAACAGTTTCCAATTGATTATAGGCGTTGGGTCTTAGAGAGGAAGCTTGCAGACGCCAATGTTACAGAACAAGAGCAAATGAATATACTGAAATCTTTAGAGAACAAGGAGAGAGAATATATGCGTCTCCAAAGACGCAAAATGAGTGTGGATGACTTTGAACTTCTTACTATTATAGGACGAGGTGCATTTGGAGAGGTCCTTCTCTTCTTATTTTAATTTGAACATATTTTTCAATTTTCTTGTTTTTGTTCAGCAAGCAATCTGACACTGTCCAATCCACTTTGATATGAATATTCTGCCTACCCTTAAAGTCTTGCATCCCTACTTTAGGTTACTTGATTGTCACCCATGGAGTTATAATCTTATTTGGCCGTCGATGGCATTTTAACCATGAATTTGGCAAACTAATATAGTAATATATTTAGACATCTTCTTTTATAGGTGCTTGCTCCCATGAAAAGCTTGGTTAAATTTGAAGGAGTGTCTTCAATGTTACATTAGGATCCTTGAATGAAAAACAGATTCTAATCCTGTTTCAAAAGCCAGGACAGAAATGGGAAAAATAAAATCAACATAATACAGGAAGGAGTCATTTTATGATTGTTTCTTTCTTTCTATTTTACTTGTTCTTTCTGTATCATTGAGAGCCTGACATAGAAAAATATGGATACAAATGCATACAAATGGCAGGAATCATGGTGCGCAATTACTTATAGATTGTTTAGATGGTCATGTTATGGATCTCAACTGTTGCCTTCATGCAGGTAAGACTATGCAGGGAAAAAGCTACTGGCAATGTGTATGCAATGAAAAAGCTAAAGAAATCTGAGATGCTTCGCAGAGGCCAGGTACCATTTAGGCTGTCTTGTCTTCCCCCCTTTTTTGTCGCACATCATGTCTTCCTTTATTCTCTTTCCTCATTGCTGAACAATTGTATTAGATTGCCTAAATACAGAAATCATGTCAATGAAGCCATATCATTCCAATGCTTAGCTTCATGGTTACGAAAATGCACTTGCTTCAATTATCCTTGGAATAAGAGTGAAGTTAAATTTTGTTTTGAAAACTGGTTATTTCCTTTGCATATCCCTGTGAAAGTGCTAATCATTGAACTTTTCATTCATGTCTTTGTTTCTTATTGTACTCTCTCTCTCTCTCTCTCTCTCTCTCCCCTTCTCCCTCTCCCTCTGCAGGTGGAACATGTTAGGGCAGAAAGGAATCTTCTTGCTGAAGTTGGCAGTGATTGCATTGTCAAGCTGTACTGCTCCTTTCAAGATGATGAATATTTGTATCTTGTGATGGAATACCTTCCTGGGGGTGACATGATGACATTACTGATGCGGAAGGACATCTTAACCGAGGATGAGGCTAGGTTTTACATTGGACAGGCGGTTCTTGCTATTGAATCCATTCACAAGCATAATTACATTCACAGGTCTGGTTTTCATCCATTTGTGTATGGAAAAATTTTGCTAGCTGAAATTTTTACTTTTCAACCATTGACATATATAGCCACAAGCATAACTATGTGACATCATTTGTTATGTTTTAAAATCTGTGTTAGATTAAGCTGTGTTGGTGACACCAATCAAGCAGTGCAGTTCTTTACATGGTGCACACCTTGTGATATTTACCAGACCACTGTTTTCCATTTATGAGTATTTAAACAATACATGGCTTTGCTAACCTCTGATGGCAAACTTTTACCATGTGCTCTGATGGACAATTTTTCCTGCTGTAATTTAATTGAGTCTACACAGAGATAATTAACATCCTTCTCCTTATTTACATGCCACTAACCTCCCCTAACCCTCATAGCTTTTAAACTATACTCAAAATTCACATATTTTATCCCATATTTACATCAAGTCATTCTTCTTGTGACATCTTTACTCTCATCTTTGCAGGGATATCAAGCCTGATAATTTGTTGCTGGACTGTAATGGCCATATGAAGCTCTCAGATTTTGGATTGTGTAAGCCACTTGATTCCAGTAACTTTCCAGATCTTAGAGAAGATGACTCTGGAGTCGGAATAAATTATAAGCCTTCATTGGACAGCAATAAGTGTTCTTACTCACCTTCTTCACAAAGAACACAGCAGGAACAGCTATTACACTGGCAAAAGAACAGGAGACTATTGGTATATCCTCATATCTTGTTTTCTTTTGGTCTTAAGATACCATGTTTGATAAATCAGGTTCCTTTGGTATAAATGCAAGAAATTTTAAAACAATGACTGGAAACTAAAAACTATAACTTGGTTGGTTCAAATAATAAACATTCACACTCGCATTGTTATACATACTTATTAATAGTGCCAACCAAAAAAAAAAAAGTATTTATTTATAGCATTATTTGTATTTATAAATTATATGCATAAATAAATGTGTTTGTAAATGTATAATAAAAAAATATTCTAAATAATATAGTTTATTTATACTATAGGTGGCAGTTAGTGTTCAATGTCATATTAGTGTTCAGTATCATGTTAGTGTCAATGATAATTCAAACTTGAAGGTCACTTTTTTTCCTACCTCACAAAAGATGGACAATAGCTTAGTTATATGCTTCATTGATGAAATGCTTAATTTTAACCTTGAAGTGTTCCTAGATTGCTTTTCTTATTCTTCAAGTACTTTTGTGATTAGTCCTTTTCATAACAGTTTCTTTACTGGCCATTCAGGCTTATTCAACAGTTGGTACGCCAGACTACATTGCGCCTGAAGTATTGTTGAAGAGGGGATATGGATTGGAATGTGATTGGTTAGTCAATTGTCTTATTTTTTAAATCCCATGGATTAACTATTTAGTATTGTATTCTAAAAGATGATTGTCTTAGGTGGTCTCTTGGCGCAATCATGTTTGAGATGCTTGTGGGATATCCACCTTTCTATTCTGAGGAACCCTTGTCAACATGTAGAAAGGTAAGTGCGTCTGTTTACCTTTTGGATTACTGTACCTATTTGATATGATTTTTATGATATAAAATGAAATGATTCAGATTTTCTGGGTCATCAATGCGAGCATTCAGTGAGCAATTAATAGCTCATTAACTAGGATAGGGCATTTTCACCAGTTATAAAATAAACCTACTTGGCCATCATGTAAGTGTCAATTGGAATAAATATCATGATTCATGCAGTGAGATTTAGATTATGAAGGAGCAAGAGAACCAGAGGAATTGCCTTGCTAATACTGTTCAGATAAAACTATTAGCACCTGACCATCAGTGCTAACAGGTTTGGTGATAACTTCACAAAGACAGAAGCTCTTGAAACATCCAAAGCTCAGGAAATATGTGGTCACTAGAAATTACTGCTGACACTTTGATAATCTTAAATATTCATTACTTCAAAAAATGTGTGTTCACTGTTGCGTCAACAGCATCAATTCATAAAAAGTTGAGTCTTGTTGCAGTTCTTTAGTCTTCTGATCCCTGATTTATAGTGATATGTCAAACTTTTTGCTCTTCTCAATAGCCCTGTCTTATATAAACTCCTTTATTTTAGCTGTTTATAAGGACTGAACTTAATCCTTTTTCAAGCAGGTGCTTCTTTTATGTGCATGTAACACCCTTTGTGCTAGCTCTTGTATATTTGTCAACAAATGGTTAGTTCATAAATGCAGATTGTAAACTGGAGAACTAATTTGAAATTCCCTGAAGAAGCAAAGTGCTCTGTTGAAGCTGAAGATCTCATTCGTAAACTCCTTTGTAATGTTGATCAGAGACTTGGGACCAAAGGAGCTCATGAAATTAAAGTCAGCATACCTAATTTATCCTTTCTTCCAGTACTTGTTGGGTTCTTGTGCAATCTATGTTTCCAGAAGATGGCTAAATATGTGTTGTTTTCAGGCACACCCATGGTTCAAGGGCATTGAATGGGATAGATTATATCAGATGGAAGCTGCTTTTATACCTGAGGTTAATGATGAGTTAGACACACAGAACTTCGAAAATTTTGAAGAGGTGAGAGATCATGATTTCTTTCACTTTGATGCTACATTTAACAGTCTTCTCTATTCAACAATTCAAATTTCGAAAATCCATCTGTTGGTGATTCCTTAGTTGTACAAAAAAATTTCCTGGAAGCCATATTAGTTGTCATTTTTTTAAAAAAATATCTATTTTTTCCAGTTCATTACTTGTCACTTTTTGTGGGATGAATGTGAAAGATAAGCATTTATTTTTAATGGGTTTTTCTATTTTGTGCCCTAAGGTCATAGGTTAAGGGTGCATTTATTGTACCTTTTGGTTATTAATTTACATAGAAAAATGTGAAAACTAACATTAATTTTACCACCATTGCCACTGGATGAATTTAATTTGACAATTGTTAAAATCAATATCAGCTTTTAATTTTTTTTCATGTTAATTAGTACCAAAAAAAAAAAAAAAGTGTAACAAATACATCCTTAAAGGTGGATTACAATTTTGGTCTAGAGGAGTATAGGAGTTAATGTTTCTTCTAGGTCGTTGTATTATTTTGAATAGGCTTAAAGGTCTGCAGTAAATACAAAACTAGGTGAGATGTGTTTTGTTGCTACCCTCTGCCAAGCAGATGATTCTTATGTTAACATGTTTAGTTCTCCTTTCCTACTTTTAGGTGCTTTTGATGTTTCCTTTTAACTTTTTTCAAGCAACACATAAATAACGATAGATTTCTTGGCTTCTGGGTATACAGTTGGGGGATTCCATGCAAACTGCATCAAAATCAGGTCCATGGAAAAAGGTAAGATACATATTTTGCATTTGTGTAAGACCTGTGACTGTTTCTGTTAATCACAACTATATTTTTGTTAAACTGATATTCCAGTATGCTTTCCGGTGTATGGAACAAGTTTTTATGGTACGAAGTCTCACTAAATATTAATTGCTATCAGAATATACTTGTAATGTAGATCTTTTTGTTAAAGTTCTTGCCAAAAGGGAAGCACATTTCTGAAAATAGAGTATTCAGATTGGACTCTATATAGTCATCAAAGGAATTGGTAGTCAATATTTTCAAGATCAGTTTTATTAATGCCCATGCGTTAAGTTACTCAAAAGTCGACTGCCACTAGGAATACCCTTCTGTTTCTTATCATTAGTTCACCTTGTTTTGACCGATGAATTTATTGATCTTTTAGTTCATTTCTTTTTTACTGCCAGATGCTTCGATCCAAGGATGCGAATTTTGTTGGCTATACATACAAGAATTATGAAATTGTCAACGAGCATCATATCTCTGGCATTGGTACGGATCATCCTACAAAATAAGATCAGATAGAAAGCCTGCAATAATGAAAACTGAATAGGCTTCACAAAGATTTATTCCTATTTGGACTGTCATATATGGAACTAATAAGCTTAATACAAAGTAGTTTTCCTGTCTTTTACGGAACTCGTTAACCTGTAAGTTTGTTTGTCTGGAGACATTTCTCATTGCACTAACGTCACATGTATTTGATTGCAGCTGAGTTGAAGAAAAAGACTAAAGCCAAAAAACCATCTCTCATGTCATTGTTTGGTACAATTCTTTTTCCCTTAATTGTCTAAAGTTGCAAGCAGTTTCATGTGTTTGACTTCTCCATTCATTTTTCACAGAGACGCCTGATCGTTCTGACCAGCCAGTCCAAGTAAGCTCTCTCAATCCCTTGCCTACGCAATTTGAGGTCTCTGAAAGTCCTGAGCCCCAACATCAGACTACAAAATTCTCCCAACGTCTACAAAAGCATGGGCAAAGATAAAACTGAAACCGTACGAAGAAACACTGTTGCCAATTAGTAATAGAACATATCTAAAATGTGTTTAAAAATTTAAATGCATCTTTGTTTCATTGTTTCGTATTAGGCTATAGCATGAATACGTTGAAAAACAGAATTTGAGTTTTATTTGTAACATGTAAATTGTTGGGTGGTTAAACTGGCTCCTCTTTTGTTTTTGTTTTTTTTTTTTTTTGGTATTAGCCTCTCTCAATTTCTGGCTCGTATTAGTATGATTCTCAAAGAACTAGTTTAACTAGTTAAATGCTCAAACTTTCAATGTAAAAATCTCATATTTGAATCTTAAATCAAGTCAATGTAGTGCTTATGCGGTGAGTGCTCTATGTCACCTGTCTTGACCTAAGCATGGGTTTTTTTATTTAAAAAAAAAAAACCATTTTGTTTTGTTTTTTTAATTTTTTTTAACAAATAAAGAACACACAGTATTGATTGTTGTTAAAAGTCAACAAAAAAACAAAAAAAATCCTAAACACTAATCATTTATGGTTTTCTACAACTTCAGTTCTTCTTCTCCTTCCTTTTAATTAATTGATTTCAGTTATATTGACTCTAAACTTCTATTAAGTTTTGTTAATTAATTGATATTAGACTTTTAAGTGAATTTTTTAAAAATTTTCCCAAATTTTTTGTAAATTTCAGAATTTTTTTAAAGGATAGCGCAAAAATCGTGAAGGTAGTTCGGGAACCGCCTAGGCTCTAGCGGAAGTTTGCTGCCTAGAGGCACCAGCGCCTTCAGTGATACTGCATTTAGCTGCCGACAATTTGTCGGAACGAGAGGTGTTTGTTTTCTTTTAAATAAAATTTCATGTCAGAATTTTATAAATGAAAAAATAGATGTTGAAAAGGTTTCTTTTATAGGGTATAATATGATTTAATTTTGAATTAATTAAGATTTAATATAATTATTAGATATTGAAAATTAATAAAAAAAATATTACATTTAAATAAAAAATTATTTTTTTTGTATAATTTATCATCAAATATATTAAAATAAAAACTCACTCTCACGATATAAGAGTAACCATAGGACTCAAATTGCCGATTAAAAAAAAGAAAAACCTATAGGACTCAAATTCATGAACGTTTCTCTGGCAATTTAAACGCTTCATTCAGAGGTTTGATATTGTAGTAATTTTTTAACAAAAAAAGAAAGGTTGCTACTTTGAGTATTCAGGCAAAAGTAATAGTCTAAAGAAATCTAAAAATTTAATTGGAGAACTTTGGAGTTTGGACCCAAAAAATAAAAATAAAAAAGAAGTAATAGTTTTGCATCCGGAATTCGACTTCTAAAAGGATTTGTAAATCTCTAAACACAACCGAACTTGTTAACCCTATAAATTCCTCTTCCTCTTTTATTTTTGTCATTGTTAATTTCTTGTTCTTCTGCCTGTTCCTTGTTTTCTTCTTCCTCTCTATCCTGTTCTGTTCCTTCAATGGAAGAGACGAGCCCAACTCCGGCTGATTCTCAAAGCATAAACTCCATGGACACCCTCTTGACGTCTTTTGAGAATCTTCATGTCAACAATCTAGGGTTTCAGGTTAACAATCATGGGTTTCCTTCTCAATCTCCTGCTCCTTCTCCTTCCAATTATGGGTCTGCTCTGTGGCCGTCCTGTTTTCAGGACTCCCTCTGGTCTGCTTCAACTCTGCAGTCCCCGTTCACACGTGGATGTCACCCTTCTCTCAATGCCTATGGTGCTTACCCCAATCATCATTCCCTGACTGCCATGAACACTGCTGTTCATAAATACGATTTCGAACCCAAGTTACAACTTGTGCAAGACAAATCAATAATTCAACTGGCATTGACTCTAGACGGTTCTCAACGGCTTCAGAGCCTTCTGCTTTCCAACGACGTTAGCTGGGTCGACATCGTATTCGAAGGAGTAATTGGGTATATATTCCGTCTCATGGCCGACCAGTTCGGCCATCAAGTCTTTGGAAATCTGATTCAGTTCTGTGATGAGTATCAGCAGCAGATAATGGTAGAAAATTTAACTGCATATCCCGACGCATTCATCGAAATATCTCTGGACAGATACGGCTCTCCCTCGGTTAAAAGACTGATCAAGCTTTTGCAGAAATCGCCTTTGGTTACTGATCTTGTGAACACTCTATGCACTGGATTCTATGACTTGATGATTCACAGGACAGGATCCCATGTTATATTGTATTGTCTAGACACGCTCGATCCCGAAGACAACAAGCCTTTTTACGAAGCAGCGATCAGCAACTCTTTAAAACTAGCCACACATCAGAACGGATGCTTGTCCTTGAACAATTTCATCACCTTAGTCAAAGGTCACTACAGAAATCAGTTCCTGGAATGGGTTTCTAAGGAAGCAGTATGCCTTTCCAAGGACCCTTTTGGGAACTTTGTGGTGCAGCATGTCCTGGACCTCCATCACCCTCACTTCACCAGGAAAATATGCTATCGTCTACAAGATCACTACACGAAAATCTCGATGTTGAAAGGCGGCAGTCATGTGGTAGAAAAATGTCTCAAGACTTCACATAGGGATTGTGCAGTTGTTGAATTTATCAACAGTGACCAACTGGTGCAGGTGTCCAAGGATCAGTTCGGAAACTATGTCATCCAAACAGCATTGAAGGAAACCAAAAGTGTGAAGAGTCCGCTATATGAGAGACTTGTGAGCAAACTGAGATCAAATTCTGAGGCTCTGCAACGCGGACATGGAAAGAATGTGCTGAATTTGATCCATGCACCCCAGATGAATTCTTCTTCTTTTTAGTTTGATTTGCTGCAGTACTTTTGTTTAAGATACAAGTAGGTTTCACTGTTGAATTGTTTTGGGATTGCAGTGCATAAAGATTAGGATATATTGATTGAAATCTGTGTGAATTAATGTGCAACTAAAGGGGAGAAGTTCTATTTCGGAGTTGGGAATTTTGATGTAGTAAGCAACTTGACTGTTTCTTGTTACAATTTGATTGAATGTACATCTCCAAAAGATCCTATTGTCTTATATTTGAACGTTATTTTGTTATACTCTCAACATAAAGCCCAGACATAAGGCATGAAACCCAACAACAATATCAGGGACCAAACTCAAAGAAATCATGTAGTATTTTTTTTTTTTCTCTTAAGTTGTATAATAGGAGAAAACTTTTTTTCATCTTTTAATCTATTTTATCTGTATGTCATAAGATTTAAGTTTTAAATTTTTTATTTTTATTAAAAAAAATTATTACTAAATTATTTAAACCAAAATTATAGAGTATTATACTGCCCAAGATATTACTCATGGTTTCATGCCTTTGTAATGTGCAATGTGGTATGCCCAAGAGGAAAGGATACGGGATGAGAATGGCAGAATTCGTTGTTTGGAC